TATGTATATGTATATATATATGTATAAATTTTTTTTTATTATGTCAACGTATATGCAATCGTTTCATTTTCGTCTGTGTTTATATCAGGGAACAGTGAAATTTCACTGTTCCCTGGTTTATATTATATATTGTGTGAGATATATATATATATATATAAATATATATATATATACATATACATATACATATATATATACATACATTTATATATATAATATATATATATATATATATATATATATATATGATGACAGTTTATACGATATATAGGTTATATATGATATGTATCATGTTCCACATAGATAATCGAAAATTGGTTAGCAACCCATGGCCCATAATACCTAAGTAGATTGGCCTATTTCAATTTAGTAGTCGTCTGAAGAGAAACGCAGGAGCGTTCGAACTATTTGTTTAATAAAGGTTTATGTTTCAAGACTAACATCGATTTATTCTGTGTTGCAACCATTCCGATGATGTATTATAAATATATATTTGTGTGTGTATCTGTATGTGCAAGTGACTATAATTTTACTCGCGGTAATAGTTCGAGTAGCCTATTTCATGGATACAAATTTGTCATCTCTATTAGACGTCTACGTTTCTTGTTTATCAGTTGTTTCAAAGAATACGGCCTCATTTTGATTAGGCATGATATTCAGAGCCAAGCTATAGTAGAGTTACAAACTATATTTAGTAGATGGAAGGCATGTCATGTTGCGGAAGTGTTTTTTTTTTATATATATTACTGTGTACATACATAAGGTTGAAATTAATCTCAGCAGCAACACCGACGCCCTATTCAAAGTGGTAAACAGTCGACAAGTCCTGCAGTAGTAAGGACCTTCTCCTTCGTGAAATACGAATCGGATTTAGTGACTAAATAACCACTAAGCAAATACGTCAACAGGCCCGAGAGACTGACATTGACAATGGTCAGGATCATGGGTAAACTCGCAACCCACTTCAAGTTCTCCTCAAGGCGTGTTCTATCCAAACGAGTGTTGTTAGCGAGAAATTTCAACGTGAACTTTACAGATTTGGTGACCCCTTCAATACATAGGTCACGCGCTGATTGAAATGACATCGACAAGGGCAGGATTTCGTGACCCTTTCACTGCATAGGTCACGCGCTGACTAAATTAATGACATCGACAAGGGGAGGTTCACAGTATAATAGGGAACTTTCGATTGCACGATAATAGAACGTAGAAAGTAATGACGTCACTAAAAGTCATCTGCGCATGCGAGAACGTTACGGTCACCTCGTCGAGTAGATTCTGGAACGCAATTTAGCCAAATCTACGGATGCAGGGAACGTAGGACGCCAGGTAGTACGGTCACGCATGAGTAATTATGTTCTAGGGTCGCGTCGTCGCACAAATCGAAAGCTCCTTACTATCCGCGGTCAAAATTATTATTTTAATCATTCAATTCAATTCAAATATTTGATATTTTATTTACCTCCCTTAAGATGAAAACATTCATGAAATATATAATAAAAATTCAATAACTGATTCAATAAAATATAATATTATACAGTAAATACAAAAAATGTAAAAAATTATTTAAATACAATGTTAAAATGTTATTGATATTTGATATTTTACCATCATACTAATTGATTTGATTTTTTTTCCCCTTATTTGTGACTAATGTAATAGCGTGATGAATTCCTTTATTCAGGATCTGGTAAATAATGACCTAGTTAAGGTGAATCTTAGCTAACAATAGGGCCTATGCGTCTCAACTCCACAAACCACTTCAAATAAGATCGTATAAGGAAGTAGGCACCACGCACCAATCGGAGCTATATAAAAGGGACTCTCCGCAAATTAAAGCAAATGACACGGCGATTTATAATCTAAATATACTTTTAAAAATACATAATCGTGATTTCTATCATAAATTATAAATTATAAAATGCTAACCACCACAATAAAAATTATAGTAAGGCTGCTCTTTATTGGCTCGCGCAGGATAAAAATTAGAGCATTCTTCACTACCAGACCTTACATCGTATTACCTTCATATAAATATACGCACACACACACATATTGATTGTGAAGTGTGTAAACACGTCTTCATTTTATTAAGCGTCTGGTATAATAGCTGCATTGGAGCTATACAACTAAAGAGTATTACACGAAGATTTTTGTGTAATCATTAGTAAAATAAATCAAATAGAAAACCGTTTTGAGTATACCACACTTCGATGCGAGATTCGCTTCCTTACACTAAATGAAAGGGATGAATAGATGTCCACTCACAATAAACCACATTGATATTATTATTTCCTATCTTGAAGAGAGCAAAACCATCAAGTGGCTAGAATTAATCATTCTTTACTTTTGTCACGCTCCCACCATCGTTTGCCTCAAAACACCCTCTCAACCTTGAAACCAAAAAAATGTAATGCTGATAAAATGTTTTGTATCAACATTACTGTACACTAACCCGCTGTGAGTAAATAAGAAATAAGCAAGTGAACGAAT